AAATGGCAGTTTTACCCTTTAGAGATATTATTAGATTTTGAGCATGTCATTTGTCGAATGTTTTAGTTTCAGGATTTGTTATGCTGAATTTTGTAAAGGCATTTGCTGAATTGAGTGAATTTCAAAATATGGTAAAATCTAAAGGAAGGTATTTCAGTTCTTTTTACTTACTTGACCTGTTGAAAATAAATTGAACTGAAAAATAAGAGACTTGTATTTGTGAAAATGCAAGTGGGCAAACAATGTCAAATGAGATATTATGTGACCAAACTTTTTTATGAAGAATAAAATTCTCTTACAGCAAGGGCTTCTTTGAGGAAGCAGGTATTCGTAAATCATTCTGCAGCCACAGTACTTGATAATCACGATTTGCTGAGTGCCCATTGCAGCTGACTGTGCATGTGGATGATCAGGGTGGTTGAGACATGATCTCTGCACTCCAGGAGCTCTGCACTATAACTGTGCAGATGATAGCTCTACAGAAGTAACTGCAGTGTGAGGCCATGACTGAGGTGGTGTAACACTGAGCGCATTAAGTACTATAGGCGTTTAGACAATTGGATGTAAAGGACATCTTCATGGAAAAAATGAAGACTTTTCCACTAATTATTGCCTTTACCTTATTTCCTGCTTGTCTGTGTTTTTTCATTTGTTTAACTGAAGCATGACTTATGGTTACGAGTAAATTATTTGTCATGTTGTTACCCGTAACATTTACCTCAATAAATATTACCTGTCATCGATATCATTTACACTGTCCCCCTGGCTCCTGAAGGTGGCCTTTATTGCCAAACCAAGTGTATGAGTTGCTTCCTCCTCTTGATTTCCAGGGAATCCACAGCATGTCATTACCAGAGCACTACTCTGTAGCATCAATTTCTGATTGCTGCTTTACTTCTCTCTCCCACTAGAGTTCCTTGAGGTTATAGAATATGTATCCCAACCTAGCATTATTCTCATTCCTATTTATAAATTCTAAGTCTGAATCTCAATACATTTTTATTGAATGAAATATTGAACTCAACAAGGATTAGTTTTGATATAAGAAAATGGTTATTTATACAAGGTCGATGGCAGTGATGATGGAGAGAAAGAAGAATTTAGGATATGTTTCAAGATACAATTGACAGGGCCTCCCTGGTGGCTCAAGGGGTTAAGTGCAGCACTTTGAAGCTATCCGCAGCCACCTCAGCATGAGTTCTATCCCCAGCCAGGGAGCTACCCACATGGCCCAGCAGACCTCTCCTGTCTCGCCTGCTGTTCCCTTCAGCAGTGTATTTTCAGTCAGTCTGCCTGTTCTGCTCCCCACTCTGTCTCTGGTGAATCCTCTCACCCCCCACACCTCTGGCCTGTACCCCAGTTCTTGTATGCATAAATAAATAAATCTTATTAAAAAAGATACTGTTGACAGGATTTATTGATGGAGTGGATGTGGAGAGCAAGGGAAATGGAGAAACTGCAGCTTGAGGACCTTGGTAATGCTATTAATGGGAACTGGATGGAAGACCAAAGGAAGAATAGGCTGATGTGCAAATGTTTGAAAAATCCACCTGACTTTTGAGAATAGCTATTAAATAGCAGTTGCACAGAGCTCAAGGAGAACATCAAGATAGGAGCTTTCTATTAGGAAATCCGCATGTTTGAGGGTACACATTTAGATGAAATTGCCTTGTGAGAGAATGTAAAGTAAGGAGAGAAAAAAACCCCTAGAATGAAACTCTTAAGTGGTCTGGAAGAGGGAGAAAAGCTAGCAAAAGATAGTAACAAGAAAGGAGGAGAAAAGCTGGAGGGAACTTTCTCAAGCAATCTCCAGTTGTTTCAAATACTGATGAGGGATTCAGATGATAAGGAGAGGTAACCATTGTGGTTGGCAGCACGGTGATCTTTAGTGGCCTTGATTATGCCAAATTGGAATAGCTTTAAGACTGAATGGGAGGTGAGGGAGTAGAAATCTGTAGGAACTAAGCAGGGAATGAAAATCATGTCTTTTCAATCAGCAGCCTCAGGTTTCTACCCTTCCAGATTATTTTGATTTCCAACTGAATTCATGCACACTGCCCTCCAAGTCTGCTTCTGAGTTGTCTTTTTTCTAAAGATTTATTTATTTATGCATACAAGAGCTGGGGTGCAGGCCAGAGGTGTGGGGGGTGAGAGGATTCACTAGAGACAGAGTGGGGAATAGAACAGGCAGACTGACTGAAATACACTACTGAGGGGAGCAGCGGGCGAGTCAAGAGAGGTCTGCTGCACCATGTGGGCTGCTCCCTGGCCAGGGATCAAACTTGTTCTACAGTGGCTGCGAATAGCTTAATAGTGCTGAGACTTAACCCCTTTTGCCTGTTTCTAAGTTTTCTATTGTTGATGAATTCACCTTGCTGCCAGTGATCCAGACTTGACCCCTCCTGTGTAATGTCCTCATCCTCTTCCTCCCTTTACCCATTTAATCCATTGTCGTGGACTATAGCGTCTTCTTTGTGGAATTTTTCAAACTGAGTTCCTGCTCATTGCCGTTGCTGCTTACGCCGCTCTTGCCAGGCACTAATTAGCTGCTCTTCAAGCTCCTCTAATCGTCTCCTAAGTACTACCTGCTCTTATTCTCCCCCTTGTCAGCACATCTATCCATCAGGGCTAGAATGTTCTTCTTAAAGCACAGTTTTGTTCATGTTATTCTCTTGCTAAAAATAAAACCAGATCCTTTCTGAACTCTCTACCTTTTTAACCTTATCTCCAACTACTTTCTCTTCATTCAGCCAGCTGTTCTGATACACTTGCTCTTTCCTGCATAGAACATGCATCCTGTGACCTCCATGCCTTCGCTTTCATTGTCACATGAGCTTGACATGCCTCTTGATCCCTTGTCATGTATCTCCTGCATCTCCAGGACTTATTACCTCAATCAGATGGTGGCATCCACCCGAAAAATTAGGAAATTTTCAAGGCTTTCAGTGCTACAATTTTATCAGTACTTTAAAAGTGCCGTTATTCTGATTCTTTCTTTAAAATCACTTCTCTCTACCACCACCGCCTAAGTCTTCTTTTTTGGAAATTGGGTACAGAAATAATTTACAGTCTAAAAGGGAGTTTCTTATCAATTTGATTAATAGTTGTGGGGTGGTCATGATAGTCTATAAGTAAAGGATATCCATCCTAGGAAAGGCATCTTTCCTCAACTGGGCAATTGTTCATTAATAAAATAGATGCTGAATTTTTTGTTTTTATGGTTATTGGTATTTGGGGGTTGAGAATCGTGGAAGAACATTGTCTATAAAATTATTCAATTTTCAGCCTTTTAAAAGGAAGTGCCTTTTAGAAATTTTGTTCATTTTTACAAAATCTGAAAGCCCAAAAGCAGAAGCTCTCTAAATATACTAAGAGGTCTTGTAATCATAGAAAAGAATTACTCATTATAATATTGAACTGAGTGTTCTGTCATCTCTTCCAACCATTGGTGGCCTCAGAGAGAAGTAAATTGAAGGTGTTTTTTTCAAGATGTTCTCTTATGGCTCATGTTACTTTTCTGTAGGTATTTCAACTTTTATTCTGTTATTGGGATATAAGGTAGATTTTAGAGATATTTAATTTGTATAGTTAATCTTTTCAGAATGAAGTTTAACTATTGACTAAAGAGAAACAATTGCATGTTTTTTGAAAAGATTGAAAATAACATTCTCCTCCTTGGTTAATGAACTGTGGTGCTGGAGCACTATTATGAGGAGTTGGTATTTTTAGAAAAAGATGACTGAGATGACCATCTGATTTAAGAACCTTCACTTGGCTGTTACAAGAATATTATCTGTTTGTCCTTTCAGTAGGCAGCTTGCCAGTCCTCCCTACCAACTGTTAATTATAGTCAACTATTTTAGAACATAAGGGTATTGTAATTAATAGTGTGGGATACTGGCTGGAGAAATCAAAATATCTCTAGATTTTTCGTAAAATCTAGAGTTCAAATTAAAGATACATGTCCCATATTTGCAGTGGGATGACAAGACATTATTAAATAAACTTACGTGCTCAAAATTATTTTTTCTTAGTCCTGTGATGAGAATAATACATAATGACAAAATTATGAAGGTATAGCTGAAAACAACTGACTTGTCAAAAAAATGTTTTTTATTTTATGATTGTTCATCTATTTATCCTCTGCGTTCTCGGGAAACTTTGTATTTCTGACAAAACTGACTGACAAAACTGCAATTGACTGACAAAACTGCAAAACAGGATTTTCTGGAGACTGTGGCTCTTTTGCATCAGGATGAGCCAAGAACTTCAGTCCTTTGATATGTGCTTTTCGTTTTCATTTAAAAAATGGGGCATAGCTGTTCCTATCCTGAATATTTTTTTAAAAGATTTATTTATTTATACAAGAACTGGGGTTCAGGCTAGATGCGCGGGAGGGTGAGAGGATTCACCAGAGGCAGAGTAGGGAACAGAGCAGGCAGACTGATGAAATACACTGCTGAGGGGAGCAGTGGGCGAGACAGGAGAGGTCTGCTTCGCTATGTGGGACCCTCGCTGGCCGGCCAGGATCGAACCGACGCTGCAGAGGCTTCATGGTGTGGCGCTCAACCCCTTGTGCCACCAGGGGAGGCCCCCTGAATAATTTTTAAAGATCCTGAGAACCTAGTAAATAATACTTAACAATGGTGGGATAATTATTCAGGTCTTTTTACATAAGAACCATCTTGTATAAATAGCTTAGTTTTATATCTTAAAATTTTCAGTACTTTCTTGTAAGTGTTGCAGTATCTTAATAGCTAAATTTCAGTAGAGGTTTTTTTTTTTTTTTTAGCATTTAATAGAGTAATAACAGGAAAATGAAATAATAGCTTTAGGCTAATTGTATTGGTAGTTTCAGTGAAGTATACTTCATAAGTAAGCATCCAGAAATATCACTCTGGGCCTTTAAAGTATAAAAAATTTTAACCTAATCTAGAAGTATCCATTCGGAAGAAATTATTTTAAATATACATTTTCTGGTTCTTTTTTTTCCCCTACAGGAAGGAACTTGAAACCTTCAAAGGTAATTTTGTGTTTAATTCTTCACTTTAAAGTAGATAAGAGTTAATTGATGCTGGATTTCTCTCTTGATGATGATGAAAGAATTCAGATGTTCTTTCAGATAGTTTACATCCAAAAATAAGTTTGTTTAATACTGTTCTTGTAAGTTTTATTTAATCACAAGTGTTTTTGGTATTTTTTTTTTTTTTTAGCTAAACTACATGTACCAAGTGAATGTTTCTGCTAATGACTATTATAAGTAATATATTAGGACAGCATGGTTCTAATTTTGAGGTTATTGTAACCATAATGTAAGAAGCTTCTATTTTCTGCCATATGGTTTGGGCCCATGTAGAGAGTATGATGATGCAGAGATGTGCTTCTGTCAGGTTTTCTGCACTGCGTCCTGCTCTGCCACTACCGTGTAACTGGATTAAGTTTCTTACCTTTTCAGGCTTGTTTCTCAATTAGTAAAATTAGAAGACCTGATGGAATAAATTTTGAGATACTGAAAGTGACCAGCATTACTTTTTAACTTTAGGAAACTCTTGAAGATGGGGCACTGAAGGATAATTCTTGGTTTATTGGTAATGGAGAAACACCCAGGTGGCAGGGAAAACCACAAACTTTGCAGTAGTTTGAAGTTCTTCCAATATGCCATTTTTCAGTTGCTTGTTAGTAATTAAGACAACAGTAATAGAAATCACTATTCTAGGAGAGATTCAATAGCCAGGAAGACTTATTGCATATTATTTTATTTCACATATAAAGTGGTTTGTGCTTTTTATATTTCACATATAAACTGGTATTGACCCTTAGATTTACTGAGTGATTAAAAATTTTCCAGCATATTATTTCCAGTTGAATTATTTATATATGATTTGTTTGGATGTTTCAGAAAAAAAACACTAACACTCAAAGATTTATTCTTCCTCTCACTACATTTAAACATGCTTGTTTTGACTGGACATCTGTATGACATGACTACAGTAGTAGTAAATGATTAAGGTCATGGTTAGTTTGTTGAAGGTGATGTCAAGTTATCCTATGTATAATGTATTATTACAGCTAACATTTTTTTTAAGATTTATTTTTATTTATGCATACAAGAGCTGGGGTACAGGCCAGAGATGCAGGAGGGGGTGGTGAGAGGATTCACCAGAGACAAAGCGGGGAGCAGACGGACAGAAATACACTGCGAGGGGAGCAATGGGCGAGACAGGAGAGGTCTGTGCCATGTGGGTTGCTCCCTGGCCGGCCGGGGATCGACTCATGCTGCAGAGGCTGCGGATTGCTTCATAGTGCGATGCTTAACCTTGCGCCACTAGGGAGGCCCTACAGCTAACATTCTTAATGAATTTGTGAACCATATTCATGTACATTATTTTTTTAATCAGTGGTTTAAAAAATAAGATTTTAACTCTTCATAAAATGCCCTTAATTTCTCATTCTTTCTTTTAGTCAACTAGCATCTTCTTCTGTAACATAAAGAGAAGAAAAATTAAAAATCAAGTTAATATTAAAAGACAGACAGGGACACAGATTATGTAAAATGTCAACTTCACTTGCATTTCAGTACTGGGTTACTTTTTTTTTTTTAGTATAACAATATTCCCAGAAAAAGAAGAGACCAGCAGATTGCAAAAGATGTTAGGTAGGTACATATTACCCTATAGAATAATTTAATTTATGCTAAAATATCTTGTTTATGTACACATCCCTGATTATATAAACATTTAACAGCATATCCAACCTATCCACAAGCCAATTCAAGCTCTCAAATTTGAACAAACCCAAAACTGGTTATTGTGTCATATCTAGGCTTTTTTAGTACTAACATTCATTAAAACTTCTTCCTTCTTGAGTGTTTTAACTAAATTTCAAAAGCATGAGTAGCATATAATAGGATATATAATATGAAAAAAAGAAATGTAGCTTCTCTTCCCAGGTATTAGTGGAGAAAAATTAAAAATCCATTCAGATGCATTGAAACAATTTCCTATTTTTTTTTTAATTAATAAATTTTATTTTTATATTCCCCATACAATTGCAATCCCCCCATTCTGACCCCAATCCCTCCCCTCCCGCCCCCACCCCCCCAAAAAGTGTCTCTGGTTCATAGTTTTTGTTGATTTTGATTTTCACTTTCTTATATTCATTTTCCTGGTCCCTTATTTAAGTTTTCTAGATTCCTGCTATGAATGAGACCATCCAGTATTTTTCTTTTTCTTTTTGGCTTATTTCACTGAGCATGATCCCTTCCAGCGCCATCCATGTTGCTGCAAATTGCATGTGTTCATCTTTTTTGAATGCTGAGTAATATTCCATGGTATATATGTACCACATCTTCTTGATCCAGTCATCTATTTTTGGGCATTTGGGCTGTTTCCAAAGCTTAGCTATTGTAAATAGTGCTGCTATAAACATAGGGGTGCAGGTGTTCTTTGGAATTGATGTTTCTGTGTTCTTTGGGTAAATACCTAGGAGTGGAATTGCTGGATCCTGTGGAAGCTCTATGTTTAGTAGGTCCAGAAATCTCCACACAGCTCTCCATAGTGGTTGGACCAGTTTGCACTCCCACCAACAGTGCAGAAGAGTTCCTTTTTCTCCACACCCTCGCCAACATTTGTTGTTGCTAGTTTTCTTAATATGTGCCATTCTCACTGGTGTGAGATGGTATCTCATGGTAGTTTTGATTTGCATTTCCCTGATTGCAAGTGATGTTGAACATTTTTTCATATGCCTGTTGGCCATTCGCATTTCCTCTTCAGAGAAGTTTCTTTTTAGCTCCTCTGTCCATTTTTTGACTGGATTATTTTCTTTGTTGTTGTTGAGTCTCATCAGCTCTTTGCAGATTTTTGTGATCAGTCCTTTATCATTAGTGTTGTGTGCAAAAATGTTCTCCCAGTTGGTGGGGTTTCTCTTTGTTTTTGTTATTGTCTCTTTTGCTGTGCAGAAGCTCTTTAATTTGATGTAGTCCCAGCTGTTGATCTTTGCCTTCACTATCACTGCTTTGGGTGATGTGTCTTTAAAGATGTCTTTGATATGCAAATCACGTAGTGTTTCGCCTATATTTCCTTCTATGTATTTTATGGTTTCAGGACTTATGTCTAGTTCTTTAATCCATTTTGAGTTGATTTTTGTATATGGTGTGAGGTAGTGGTCAAGCTTCATTCTTTTGCATGTAGCGACCCATTTTTCCCAGCACCATTTATTGAACAAACTTTCTTTGCTCCAATGCATAGTCTTTGCTCCTTTGTCAAAGATTAGTTGACCATAAATTTGTGGGTTTATTTCTGGATTTTCTATTCGATTTGATTGGTCTGTGTGTCTGTTCTTGTTCCAATACCATGCAGTTTTGATGATTATGGCTTTGTAGTAGAGTTTGAAGTCTGGGAGTGTGATGCCTCCATTCCCTTCTTTTTTTTCCAGGAGAGCTTTGGCTATTCGGGGTTTTTTGTGATTCCATATGAATTTCATCAATAATTGTTCTATTTCTTTGAAGAATGCCATTGAGATTTTGATTGGAATAGCATTGAATCTGTATATTGCTTTTGGAAGGATGGCCATTTTAATAATGTTTATTCTCCCAATCCATGAGCAGGGGATGTCTTTCCATTTCTTTGTGTCTTCTTCTATTTCTTTTAACAGTGTTTTATAGTTTTCTTTGTATAGGTCCTTTACCTCTTTTGTTAGATTTATTCCCAAATATTTGATTTTTTTTGTTTCAATAATAAAAGGGATGGGTTTTTTGATTTTTTCTTCTTCAGATTTATTGTTTGTATATAGGAAGGCTACTGACTTTTGCGTGTTGATTTTGTATCCTGCCACTTTACTGAACTGATTGATGAGTTGAATTAGTTTTTCTGTTGAGTTTTTGGGGTTCTCTATGTATATTATCATATCATCTGCAAAGAGTGATAGTTTGACTTCTTCTTTTCCTATTTGGATTCCTTGGATGTCTTTCTCTTGTCTTATTGCTCTGGCTAGGACTTCCAGTATTATATTGAAAAGCAGTGGTGAAAGTGGACATCCTTGTCTTGTTCCAGATCTTAATGGAATTGCTTTCAGCTTTTCACCGTTGAGAATGATACTGGCTGTTGGCTTGTCATATATGGCCTTTATGATGTTGAGGTACGTTCCTTGAATCCCAAGAATTTCAAGGGCTTTTATCATGAATGGGTGTTGCACTTTGTCGAAAGCTTTCTCAGCATCTATTGATATTATCATATGGTTTTTATATTTCTTTTTGTTGATGTGTTGGATAACGTTGATTGATTTTCGGATGTTAAACCATCCTTGTGTCCCTGGAATGAATCCTACTTGGTCGTGGTGAATTACCTTATGGATACACTGTTGGATTCTGATAGCTAAAATTTTATTGAGGATTTTTGCATCAGTGTTCATTAGGGAGATTGGCCTATAGTTTTCTTTTTTTGTGTTGTCCTTGTTCGGTTTTGGTATTAGTGTAATGTTGGCTTCATAGAACGTGTTAGGTATTATACCTTCCTTCTCAATTTTTTGGAAGAGTTTGTGAAGGATAGGCACCAATTCGTCTCTGAATGTTTGGTAGAATTCATTTGTAAATCCATCAGGTCCTGGGCTTTTGTTTTTGGGGAGGTTTTTGATTACCATTTCAATTTCGCTGCTTGTAATTGGTCTGTTTAGGTGTTCTATTTCTTCTTTATCTAGCTTTGGGTGATTGTAGAGTTGTAGGAATTTGTCCATCTCCTCTAGATTGTTGAACTTGTTTCCATATAACTGTTCATAGTAGTTATTAATTATTCTTTTGATTTCTGCTGTGTCCGTTGTGATTTCTCCTCTTTCATTTATTATCCTATTTATTTGTGCTTTCTCCCTTTTTGCCCTTGTGAGCCTGGCTAGGGGTTTATCTATTTTATTTATTTTTTCGAAGAACCAGCTCTTGGTTTCATTGATCTTTTGGATTGTTTTTTGAGTTTCGATTTCATTTATTTCTGCTTTGGTTTTTATTATTTCTTTTCTTCTACTGGTTTTAGGGTT